TCACTAATGGGGTTACCGGATCGGATGAAACAAAGCAGGCCTAGTTATACAAAGCTTTATAAATTTGTGAACTGAAGGAGTAGAGTTTACATATGCTTAATATGTACACTCACTGAGCATTTCATTTGGTACACCCATGTACTTCGTCCTTAGCACAAATCTAATGACTGCAAATGAATGCACTGAGGCATGCGGACATGATCAAGACGACCTGCTGAAGTTCAAACTGAACGTCAGAATGGAGAAACAAGGTGATTTAAGATACTTTGAAAGTGGCATGATTGTTGGGCTGAAGATTTCAAAAGCTGCTGTATTTTAAACACTGTCAGGAACCCTGGGCGGAGCAGGAGGTGGGATTCAGTAGCTGTGTTCCAATTCAGGGTCTGCACGCTTGAAGTACGCGCACTACGCGTACTACGTACGGTGCGTACTATAAGTACGAGAAGTGCGGAAGTGAGAGGCTTGTGAAATGGGGCGGTCTCGCGCTGTTCAGGTTGCCTAGCAACCACGATACTAACCGCGAGAAACGTTACATACAGCTTTGTTTGACAGAAATGAAGGAGAAAAAATGTTTTGTTGGTCATTCATTTTTGTCATGACATCACTGTGATTAGTTGAGTATCTGAGGCTGAAACCACAGGACTGTAAAACATGATTGTTGGGCTTCATTTCTGTATGAACAGTCATTTCAAGAGTAGTTAGTAAATAACAATTAGCTAATGTTGTTCATGAGACTAAAATCATCTCAATGTGGTAATGTAAATATAATATGGCCAATGTTATAGTTATTTATATATATATATATGGCTTTACAACTAAGTTAACGCTCAAAGTACAAACATCACTAATGTCACACAACTCTGCCGACATGTGGCCAACAGCAATGTTTTAATGTTCTTCATTATTAAACATTCGCACATAAATAAGTGACGTCATATTCAGTTCTTACTTTTGACAGTTCACACTTCGACTGCTCCCTTCTGCCGTATTTTGCGGCAAAATTATCCACACCTACGCCGCGCTATGAATTGTGGGATATATGGGACCACGAAGCGTGCATCGGACCACGCTTGATATTTGGGGAAATCGACGGCGCATTTGGAGTATGTGTTTGAAGTACACTTCGAATTGGGACAGCCGTCGTCGCGTGGCGGTGACGTAATCACACTTAAAATGCGTACTTCAAGCGTGTAGACCCTGAATTGGGACATAGCTAGTGTGTTCATGTTTAGTGTTTTCACTGTAAATAAATGCACCAGACTGATATCCACTAATGTAGTCTCTCCAAACACTTGAGGGCAGGGAAGATCCAGGGAAGGTCTGTATGCGCAATTATGGGGGGGTGGGCAAGGGAAACACACTAGTGTCCAGACCCAGGACTTTACTAATAGCATAATTCAACAATCCAGCAAATAATGAACCTCAGTCACCCAGTGAAGTAGTGGCCTCCTGATGAGCTCATCTGGAACAGGTGGTTGATTGGTGCAGACATGCTCTGACAGAGGCGGGAACCCACGATGAGTTCCTCCCACAGACAGACAGATAAGCAAGACAAGCATAGAGAAAGAAGAGACACAGAGAGAAAACAAAGACGTGAGCAGGTCGCTCAACAGGACTGAGGAACAGGATAGGTTCCACTGTGACTCTGAATTTAGGAAACAGAAGGTGAGCAAAAGAGAAAGATGAGAGTGAGTTTCTTTTCAAAGATAAGCACAACTCAGCATGTGACATTTTATGATTATAAAATAGATATTTGATCTATGGAGTTTTTACTGTGTGTTGGCCCTGCGACAGACTGGCGACCTGTCCAGGGTGTACCCCGCCTCTCGCCCTATGACAGCTGGGATAGGCTCCAGCGCCCCCGCGACCCTGAAAAGGATAAGCAGAAGCGGATAGATGGATTGATGGATGGATGGAGTTTTTACTGAACTTTGTTTTGTCAGCTTGTCTTATACAACATTAAAAGGCTTAAGCATTGCAACAAGCTGGTCTGTAAATCTGTGATGTACTCTGCTGTATTATGAAAATCTTCTGGGTGAGTGTTACAGTATTAAAAATAATAACATTAGATCAGTGTTACTCATAAAGCATGAAGCATTTGCAGTAGTTTAATATAGAACTACCTTTTAGCTGTTTCATATGAGTTTAAAACTAATAAAATGAGTGTTTGAGAAAAACAAAAATCATAAAATAGCAGCAAATGCAAGTTACAGTTATCCAGAGCTCAAAGCAACATCGTTACTGTGCTTGTTTTGTTTAATCAAAATTTAAATCTCAAACTTTTTTAAATAGTATGAAATTAAAAAGAGACGTTTCAGTATTCTGAAGCCATTTTTGGTATTGGCTGAAAAAAACTATTATAGTAGTTTCAGAATATAATGTCTCTTAATTAAAAAACAATAATTTCTACCTTATATAACTGTATATGTGTTGATTGCATCTCATAGTAAAGTTAAAGTTATTTTTCTTTCTGTCTCTTAGTATCATATAGTTTGAGAAAGTAAAGCCTGACTCACTATCTAAAGACAAACCGTTTTTGCTACAACAGCAAAAACATACTGATACATAAGCTTGTCATGAACTGTTTGGTTTTGGTTGTGCCCATCAAATAGGAGTAAAATTGCTAACTATTCCTCACCGTCGGTCCCCTGACCGTGGTCGGGAGATGCAAGGGGAGATACTTCCTCCAGGGCCAAAGTTTTGTCCTACTTTGGGGGTAAATCCCCTCACTTTTGTGGAGTAGTGAGGCAGGCAGAAATTAGCCAAGACACCTGAGATACTGAAGGGATGAGGCTTTAATAACGGTACTGCACATTCAAATACACACTGCATAGGCTGTAGCCCGTTAGAACGCTGCCCCCGGTCACCGTCTCTACCCGCGACATTTATTGCGCTCACAGCGTCTCCTCACA